ATTATAACCAGACACGTGCATTTCGTTAGAATAAATTGTTGGACAAACGAATGCAAAAAAAATTATAACAAAATTAACAAATGCATTCATTTCATTCGGATGATGTCATGTGATACGATAGTTGTTCAGGCCAATGAGAAAACAAATTAAATTTTCGAATTTTTTCGATAATCGAGATTCGGATAACGAATGGGTCCAAATTTCCTACTATTCGCTAATTCGGATGCTTATGATCCCAGTCAATATTGCCCAATCAGCTCATGCCATTTCTCTTGGTGGGTTGGGCTAGTATCTGAAAATATCAAATCCGTCCAATTCGATAATAAATCGAATATATAGCAATCTTCCAAAAAAAAATGCAAAATTTTACGGACCCTCCCGGATCAACAAACTTATGAAAAGAATACCGAAGATACAAAATGAATTCCGACAACTAATCGGTTCAACATAACGAAAATGACAATGAAATTCGTCAATGAACTAATGCATCCGAGATAATACATATATAATAATAATATTTTTTTCTCTAAAAATATAGATTTGATAAATATTGCGCAACATAAAAACAATGCCATATAACATCTTTTTATTGCGCTGGGCCTTTGTGTTCAGAAAATACATCATATTCTGGAGGGTTTCAAATAATTTTTTAGGCAAAAATGCAAAACAAAATTCGGGGTAGGAGAATGTGATATTCTAATTGATTTGGACTCCCCTAAAATTCCACCAAAATAAGTGAAAGAAAATGTTGCTTACCTCTATCTGAAACGTCGCGTATAATTGTGGGAAGAACCTGCTATCTCCTGTCGCTTCCATGGCTCGCCGCTCTGCCAAAAGACAATCAAGAGCCATGGAAACTTTTCTGGTGACTTTTACTGCCAGCAGCTGGTGAGTGGAACGATGAGATGTCACAAATACCTGAAGAAGGAAGAATAATAGGATATTAGTAGTGTCAATTAAAGGTCGTCTAACCCACCTATGATATTTCTTTTTTTGGGTAAGATGTAAAAAAAGGCCAATCACCCGATGGCTCTTTACATCTCACATGGTCTCCAGTGGTAAAATGTACCCGCTGGAGTTCCCATCTGCACCCTCCCAGTTTTCTGAAAGTCTACGCTTCCTGCTGCATTCTCTGCAATGTAACTTCAATGGAAAATGGAGGGAGTGAAACCCCTTCTGGTCTAGTCATGTGATCCGGCTTTCCTTTGGCAGCCAGTGACAGCTGCAGGGGAGAGGAGGGAGTGCAGAAAATGGCTGGGACATGGAAGCGGCGATGTCACCGTTCCCAGAATTCCTAGCCATTGTCACACTCTCTCTCTTTTTCCCTGCAGCTGGAGCTGGCTGACACAGGCGATCACATAACTGCAAGTTAAACATAGATCTTTTTTTTTTTTTTTTTTACACAGGTTAGTCAGCATACAGTAGGTGTTAATAGGGGGAGGGGACATTTTTAAGGCTAGTTAGGTTTAAAGTGGTAGTAAAGTCTCTACGTTTATTTTTACCTACAGGTAAGCTTATAATAAAGCTTACCTGTAGTTAAAATGAATATCTCCTAAACATAAAAAGATATTCCAGCGACCTCACTGGCGCATGTGCTCTGAAGGAATGGCATACCCATGCCATTCCTTCAGAGCTCTGTGCCGTGCCCGGGGCTCCCTTGCGCATGAGCAGGAGTGGCGTCATCGCGGCTCAGCCAGTCAGACGTCTGGCGCTCAGGAACCTGGAAAAAAGACCGGATGAAGATGGCAGCCCTATCAATGGTGACAGCATAAAATATCAAATATTGGATGAAGCGCTCTGCTATAATAGTGCTATGTACAAAACCAAGATATTATACACATATATAAAATATAAAGACAAAAGTGACTAGTGCTTAATAATATATGTGTAAAAAAAAAAAATATATATATATATATATATATATATATTATATATATATATATATATATATATATATATATATAAAGATTAATATAAAACCAGTCTGCCCCCAAGTGGCTAAAACTGGTTATACATGTGCACACACAACTGAATAAAAAGTGACCAAGTGCTAAATTACATAAATAGTGTCTTAATAAATATAATAAAAAAAATCACAGTGAATCATTTCAGAAAGTGCCAAGTGTTTAAATAACAATCAATATACATATAGTATAATCATCTGCAAAAATCATGCTATCACTCTTCTGTGAAGAAATAGTATAAGTGCTTCTTCATCCAAATAGTGCTCAGACCAAGGTGTCACTCCAGTGAATAAATCCTAAATATCCAGAGTGCCTCCTCACCTCCAACATTCGACCCCTAAAGGTCACAGACGACTTATTTAAATGATGTTCCAAAAACGACACCAGGATATAGCTTGCCCCGCGACTCAAAATCTTAATATATAAGATGCCTCAGCCATATGTTCATGGACCATGGAAGATTGAGCACAAAAGAGAGTCTCAAAAGCGCAATATGTAGTTTTATTATGTATAAAAATCAGATGGAAAACTCACTTGCTCTTAATCATTAATCTTTATATATATATATTTTTTTTTACACATATATTATTAACCCCTTTGCGCCGGCCGCACACAAATGTGTGCGGCCCCCGGTGTCTGGGCCTAGACGCCGAGCGGCCGCACATTTGCGTCCATGTAACTAAATACATATGTGCTGAGAGCGCGTGCCCTGCGCGCTCCCAGCACACATGTGTGGTACTCACGGAAAGGTCCCGGTCCGCTCTTTCGATCGGGACCTTTCCCGATCATGTGACCGCCGTGACGCGTCATCACGGCGGTCACATGATTCCTAAACCACGCCCCAACCGCCCCGCCTCCCGGCGTCTGAATCTCTTAAAGGGCCAGGAAGCGTCGGCGGGAAGGGGTTAAGCACTAGTCACTTTTGTCTTTATTTTTTATATATGTGTATAATATCTTGGTTTTGTACATAGCACTATTATAGCAGAGCGCTTCATCCAATATTTGATATTTTATCTACTTTGTCCCATGGTATAGGGTGTAGATGTTAGCGGCTAGCTATATTTAGGCAGTCTGTGGAGCGCAGGAGGATACTTATAATGGTGACAGCATGCCACTGGAGGGCTTCGTTTTAAGGTAAGTCTTTCATAATGTACTAGAATGCAATGCATACCAATACATTACGATATTACCTTGCAGGGGGAAACTTTTTTGTATTAAATAAACTTTACTACTGCTTTAAGCTGGAATTCTATGTTATTGGCACCCCAATGCACCCTACCAATGCACGTTTTATGGTAAATTTTGGAGCATTAGGAAGCCTTCTTCAATGAATAGGCCACCTTAACATGATGCCTGTTATGGCACAACCATAACAGGTATTAAAGCACTGTGTGGATGCAGCCTTAAACTGACTTGTCACTCCTCCCTGTCTGTTATATGGATATAAATCAGGGAAACAGGAAAACTAATCACTTACCTTGCCAAACAGTCCTTGTCCGATAAGCTCATGATATTTGAAGCTTTTTACAGTTGGGTCTGGGTTGATGCCTAAAAACAAAAACAAAAAAAGATTAGTTTACCTCCATCTACATTTGTTTGAATCATTTTTATTGAATTATTCCAAGTATGAATAAAGTTAACTGAACAAGTATAAGTTGCAAAGTGACTACAGTCTACTCAATCATTCCTGTAGGTGAGTCATATTGGGGGAATCAAACACTCACCGGCAATGCAGGGTTAGATTAGATACTTCATGGTGACCATTGAGACAGGTGGTATACTGTAGGTCACTGGCCACCACAGTCATTAAAAGCCATAATTGGTGGTGTGAAAAATAAATTGCTGTTCATCAGTTAGAAGTATCAAAAACTTAGAAAGGTGGCTGGGGGAAAGGAACCTCCATCAAAAATTTAGTTTGGGTTCATGTGATTTGTAGATCATCTCTGGTCTATCTAGATGAATACCAAGTTCCCACCAATGTGAAATATCTCTACATATGATTAATCTTGTCAACCAACTTGTATGTTATGTTGTTCACAATACTTACCTTTTCTTATACAGAAAAACTCCTTGAGGCTGTTAAAGAATGACCGAACTCTGCCCGCAGAGTTGGCATTATGCTGGGCAGGTTGGACAGGTTCTTCGCTGGGGTGGGGCTTGTCCTCTCCGGGTTCTTCACGGGTGGTCATTGAAGGAACACTCTCTCTTCTTGGAAGAACAGCATGGTCTGGAGCATTGCCTGTGCCGTTGATAACCTCAGATTTGATTTCTGAGGTGAACTCAGTGTCAGTAGCGGCGGTGACATCAATCGCCCTTTCTGAGATTGACACAGTCCCTGTAGGGATGCTGATCTCCATCCCATCTTTTGACTCAACCACAGTCTCTACCATTGCAGATTCAAACCCATCTGTTGAGGTGGGCAGAGTCTCCACAATGTCTGTGGTCTTGGTGGACTGGATTGTGTCTTTTGAGACAGACTCGTCCATAGTAGTGGTGATCTCAATACCACTTTTTGGAATTGACACAGTATCTGTAGGGATGCTGGTCTCCATCCAATCTTTTGACTCAGCCAAAGGCTCTACCATTGTGGATTTGATCCCATCTGTTGAGGTGGGCACAGTGTCCACAATGTCTGTGGCCTTGGTGGACTGGATTGTGTCTTTTGAGACAGACTCGTCCATAGTAGTGGTGATGTTAATACCACTTTCTGGAATTGACTGAGTGTCAGTAGGGATGCTGATTTCCATCCCATCTTTTGACTCAGCCACAGTCTCTACAATTGTGGATTCAAGCCCATCCGTTGAGGTGGGCACAGTGTCCACATAGGTACTGTTTGAGATGCTTGAGGTCTCTGTCTCTGAGGCGAGCACAAAGTCCTGGTCGGTAGTCTCATTAGAGGTCGCATGGACTTCTGGAGGAAAAAAAAAAAAAAAAGATTACCTTCTATTCATGTATTTGCTTTTCTAAACTATCTACTAGACAAAGCTAATCAAATAAATTACAAGACTGACTGAACAGAATGTAGGCTCCATGCACACACTAGCGTTTTTTTTTTTTTTAAGCTCAAAAAACACTCGTAATAACGTTTTATATCAACAGCATATCAAGCTGAACAACAGTAATGGACTGTGTCTGTATAACTATTTTTTTGTATACTGGGCCTTTGTTGTTGATATGTTTACAATCAGGGGTGGACTGACCATATGGAAATTCGGGCACTGCCCGAGGGCCCGGGGTCAGTAGCGGCCCCATGAGATGCCCCTGGTACCTTTTTCATAGGCTTTTTTGAGTTTGGGCAAGGACACGGGCCCCATGATCCCCAATTGCCCGGGGGCCCCATGAGTTGTCAGTCCACCCCTGTTTACAATATATACATATATATACTTATATTTACAGTATATACTGTACACTGGGGCTATGTGATACATATGCTGTACACTATATATATATATATATATATATACCTGTATTATACATTCAATGGGCAAACGGGGACTTCTCTCAACTTACGCTTCAGGTAGCCAGCAGTCGAACTAGATTTCAGCATCTTCTTTCTGCCACGACCATTAGCGTTTCAAAGTGCCCTTTGCCTTGAATTTGCGAATGATGCTTCCTAAGGTGTCTCTTGGTATGTTTAAACATCTTTGCAATCTTCTTATAGCCATTGCCCTTCCTGTGAAGAGAAATCACCTCTTCTCTTGTCTTCCTGGACCATTCTCTTGCCTTCACCATGTTTGTAACCACACCAGTAAATGTCTAGAAGGAGCTGAGTATCACAGTCATTTTAAAGCTGCCTAATTGGTGCTTATTATGCTTGATTGCTGCTCGGTGACATCCACAGGTGTTTTCAATACCTGATGGAAAGCACCTGTATGAACCTCTGTTCTTCAGAGTGGTAGTCTTTAAGGGGTTGAATAATTGTGGCAATGAAGAAACCACATAAGAACCATTTACTACTGTATTACATAAACAATTGATGTCATTTTTAGTTGCATTTCAATGGGTTTGTTACATCAATTTTGTATATACTGTGGAGAAGGCTTGTGTTTTCTGTTGTTGCTATGGAATCTGCCCGGTTGCTATGGGCTCTGTATGGTTGCTATGGGCTATCCATGGACACCTAGGGTTGGGTTTTCTAGTAATGGGCTGGTATCTCTGTATTTGCATTCGTTGTACCCTCTTGCTATGGACTCTGAATGGTTGCTATGAGCTGTGCATTGCTATTATGGACTGTCCATGGCTGTCTAGAGGTAGAGGTGATTATATAGTAATGGATTGCTGTCTGTGTAATTATATATGTTGAACGTTGGGCCTATGTTGTAGATATGTTTATAATATATACATACAGTGTATACTGTACACTGGGGCTATGTGAAACATATGCTGTACTATATATATATATATATATATATATATATGTATTATACATTCAGTGGGGTGTATATACTGTGGAGAAGACTTGTGTTTTTCTGCTGTTGCTATGGAATCTGCCCGGTTGCTATGGGCTCTGTATGGTTGCTATGGGCTATCCATGGACACCTAGAGATAAGTTTTCTAGTAATGGGCTGGTATCTCTGTATTTGCATACGTTGTACCCTCTTGCTATGGACTCTGAATGGTTGCTATAGGCTGTGCATTGCTATTATGGACTGTCCATGGCTGCCTAGAGGCCATGTTCTAGTAATGGACTGGTGTCTGTAGAATTCTGTATGTTGTATACTGGCCAGGGTGGCCACCTCATCCCTTTACACCCGAACACACATTATTTACAATGGTAATGAAGCTCACTGAGTGCCTTATCTGCATGAAATGATCCTCAGAACCCGTGTAAATAATGTATTCGGGTTTAAAGGGACGAGGTGGCCCCCTAATACTGGGGCTATGTTGTTGTTATGTTAACAATAGTGGACGGAGGACGGGATCAGGGAGCTGCTGCAGGTAACCAGAATGTGATTGGTTGTTAGGAAGCCGGGCGGTCCTAGCAACCAATCACCAGCTTGCCGATATGAAAAGTTAACACCGGCAGCCCCCACTCCCGCCCTCCATCCAGTACTGCTGCCTCCCCCTCCTCCTCTCCGCTCTGCTGTACACCTTACAACAGGTAGGGCAATGCTACCTGCACTCTCCTGTCTGTGTCCGGGGGATGGTGTGAAGAGCAAAAAGGACACTGCAGGGGGGACAGAGGACACTGCTTGGGGGGGGCATGGGGCACTTCAGTGCGGGGGGTGATGTGAGGGGACAGAGGACACTGCTGTGGGGGGGGCACAGGGCACTTCAGTGAGGGGGGGTGATGTGAAGGGGCAGAGGACACTGCTTGGGGGGGGGCACAGGGTACTTCAGTGAGGGGGGTGATGTTACGGGGCAGAGGACACTGCTGGGGGGGGCACAGGGTACTTCAGTGAAGAAGGTGATGTGAAGGGGCAGAGGACACTGCTGGGGGGGGGGCACAGGGTACTTCAGTGAAGGAAGGTGATGTGAAGGGGCAGAGGACACTGCTGGGGGGGCACAGGGCACTTCAGTGAGTGGGGTGATGTGAAGGGGCAGAGGACACTGCTTGGGGGAGCACAGGGCACTTCAGTGAGTGGGGTGATGTGAAGGGGCAGAGGACACTCACTGCTATGGGGGGCGGGTGAGACAAATGACTCTGCCATGGGGGGCACAGGGCACTTCTGTGGGGGGCAGAAGACACTAAAGTGGGAGGAAGGGGGTGATGTGAAGGGGCAGAGGACATTGCTATGTGGGAGGGGGCAGAGAGGCAGTGGACACTACCATGTGGGGGGGGGGGGGGGGGTGATTTGGAGGGGCAGAGGAAACTGCCATGGAGGGCAGAGAACACTGCTGTGGGGAAGGGGGTAGAGGGGCAGCGGACACTACAGTGTGTGTGTGTGTGGGGGGGGGGTGATGTGGAGGGGCAGGGGAAACTGTTATGGGGGGGTTAGAGAGGCAGAGGACACTACAGGGGGGTGGCTGGCAATGTGAAGGGGGCAAGGGGGGGGGGGGGGTCAGTGAAGCATCAGCCATTATCGTGGGGGAAGGGGTGATATGAAGTGATATTGGGGTGAGACCCCCCCTCCCCCCAGTGGAGACACAGCTGACGATAAAGATATGACATGGTCTCTAACCCTTCACCACCCTTTCTAAACCCAAAAAAATACATTTTGCCTATAGATGCACTGCAACCACTTGAGCATGAGCCGGTAATCCCCCTTCATTCCCATTTATCAGTGCTGCGATAGTCTGACTGACAATTACTCCGTCATACAACACTGCACATAAAAAATGTTATATCCTTTTTGGATACACAGTGATGGGGTAGAATATAGACCACTGTTCACCAATCAGAATAGGGCGCTATAATCAGGAGTGGGGTATATGAACCGTTGTGTACCGATAAGAAGATACAATGTAACACCCATAAATAAAATGGATCTTGTTCAGCCTGTTGTATGTTGAAAGGATCATAAATCTTACCTTCTGGATCCCGAACTGCTTTCTTCTTTCTTCCACGGTGGAACAGACGACGTAAAAAAGCCCTAGCCTTGCCAAAAAATGGCCTACGTTTGCCCTCAGGGGTGGGATTCTGATGAGCAGGCTGAGCAGAAGATCTGCTGGGGTGGGGCTTAATTTCCATATCTTTTCTGTTCTTTGCTGGTTCCTCTCTGGTGGTAAATGGAGGAAAGGGTTGCTTTCTCTGTATTATGCTTGTCATTCACCAAAGAATAATTCTTTGGGAGAACAAGTAAACACACAACCTCTTCTTTGCTTTACTAGCTAAAGAATGACAGGCTGACTGCAGACACACCTACACTGTGACATCACGGCCAAAGGTCATGTTCCCTGGGCAGATTTCAATTTTTTTACATTTCTAAAAAGCCTCTGATTGGTGGCAGGACCAGGGATACTTCCAACTGTCATTTTGTCCCAGACAGGTTTCAATTTTTAAAAATTCCTAAGAAGCCTCTGACATCACGGCCAAAAGTCATGTTCCCTGGGCTGGTTTAAATTTTTTTACATTTCTAAAAAGCCTCTGACTGGTGGCAGGACCGGATACTTCCAACTGTCATTTTGTCCCAGGCAGGTTTAAATTTTTAAAAATTCCTAAGAAGCCTCTGACTGGTGGCAGGGCTAGGGATACCTCCAACTGTCATTCTCATGGGCAGGTTTAAAATTACTAGCAAAGCTCTGATTGGTTGAACCTGTGACTCAGCTCTTCTAAATGCAAACAGAGGAAGCTAGACATTCATTTGCCAACTTGTATATATATATATATATATATATATATATATATATATATATATATATATATATATATATATATATATATATATATATATATATTTTTTTTTTTATTTCTAATTAACAGGGAATAACATTACATATATGAGCCGCCGTAACCTCCCTAGCAGTCTGATTATGTCAGTATTTCTGTGCTCAACGCGGTACTTTTGTTTGAATGGAAATATGTATTTTTTTTATTGTAGGCTGTAATTTTTAGGACTAACTCACTGAAAGCTGTCCAAACAAGAGTCTAGTAAACATCCCAGGCAGGGGCGGACTGACCATTTGGAAACTTGGGCACTGCCCGAGGGCCCGGGGTCAGTAGGGGGCCCCATGAGATGCCCCTGGTACCTTTTTCACAGGCTTTTTGGAGTTTGGGCAAGGACACAGGGGCCCCATGATCCCCTATTGCCCGGGGGCCCCATGAGTTGTCAGTCCACCCCTGATCCCAGGTATGTTAAAATTTGAAACAAAAAAATCATAAATTATAATTTAATAAATAATCATAAAAAAGAATAATATAATAATAATAAATTTAATTCAATAATATAATCAAACCAAAAACACTGAAATGTGAAATATAGCGCCAAGTTCGCACATCGCTGAGCAGTCGCAAAATCGTTTTCAGTGTCTGATGAGGAATTTCCCCCACGAATCATTATCACTCAATTCTGCAAGTGGTTCTGATTTACTATCGCTGTTCTCTAGCCGGTCTAAAACCGCTTTTGACCTAAAGGGACGCTTTTTGGACGCCATGGACGTTTCTCAGTTTCCAGGCAGAAAGAACAAAGTAAAAATGCAGGCAGGGCGCCGGACAAAGCACTCGGGACAAAATGTATGTGAAATGGTTTGATACAGGAATGTTATACTATGTGATTTTAGTGTATTTAGTGAATGTCACTTTTTGACATTTTTAAATTTCCCGGTAAGTGCAGAAGAGATCCCGGAGCAGCGCTGCAGTGTATTCCTGAGTGTAGCTCGGGGTTACCGCTTGTGGTGCTGAAACTTTACCCCGAGCTACACTCGGGAATACCTCCAGGGGGGTTAACATAACACATGTTAATGATGGAGCGGTGTGAAGGGGTCCTGATGTGCAGGATGAGGTCAGAAATCAGAGCGATGAAGCATATCAACTCTTCCTAAAGTCCCGGGGTTCACCCTCTATGATGGACAGATCTCTTCCACTCCTCTCCTTCACCAGACTTGACTTTCTCCTGAGCCTGGTGATCCTGTAAATCAGGGGTGCTTGACCTTTTGAAGAGTAAGGACCACTTAAAGTGGAGCTTTGTGGGACAGGCGAGTGGCTGTTTATTAAAAGTCAGCAGCTACTGTTTTTTTGTTGCTGCTGACCTTTCATTTTTACCCAGGAGACTGGAGTGATTTAAGTGATTTGATAACCGGTTGTCACAATGAAATGAAGTGGCTCAGAGTATTAACTTTTTTATTCTGAATATCATAATGAACATTTTACCCCTGAATATGCCGCCCCACTGCTCCTGCTGTCCAAATGTAAAACAGAAGGTGGCAAGGAGGCTGTATGGGCCCCCTGAAGAATGGGGTGTGGTCACGATCCCTGACACTACACCAGTGACTGGGGGGGGGGGGGGTAAATTTACGTCTCAACTATGGGGTTTTGCTGCCCTCCAAACAACAAATGTAAATGAGTCCTTAGTGTCCTGAGCCCCTTATAAGGCTACTTTCACACTGATGCAATGCGGCTTTCCTGCAGGTTAGCTATACTTTGCCATAGACTTCTATTATATCTTGCAGGTGTAGTGTACTTTCTAAAATCCACCAAAATGTCTGCATTCAGTTTGAGGTTGAGGGCCACATCAGAGGGCTCCAAGGGCCACATGTGGTCCATGGGACATGGGTTGAGCACCGCTTCTGTATATTATATAGTCCTGATGTCTTCATATGATGCTGACCCCATATATTATACAGTCCTGATGTCTTCATATGATGCTGGTCCCATATATTCTGATGTCCCATATATATATACAGTCCTGATATGTTCATATGATGCTGATCCCATATATCATACAGTCCTGATATGTTCATATGATGCTGATCCCATATATCATACAGTCCTGATGTCTTCATGATGCTGATACAGTCCTGATCTTCATATGATGCTGATCCCCATATATATACAGTCCTGATGTCTTCATATGATGCTGATCCCATATATTATACAGTCCTGATGTCTTCATATGATGCTGATCCCATATATTATACAGTCCTGATGTCTCCATATATGCTGATCCCATATATTATACAGTCCTGATCTCTTCATATGATGCTGATCCCATATATATACAGTCCTGATGATCTCTTCATATGATGCTGATCCCATATATCATACAGTCCTGATCTCTTCATATGATGCTGATCCCATATATTATACAGTCCTGATCTCTTCATATGATGCTGACCCCATATATTATACAGTCCTGATCTTCATATGATGCTGATCCCATATATCATACAGTCCTGATGATCTCTTCATATGATGCTGATCCCATATATCATACAGTCCTGATCTCTTCATATGATGCTGACCCCATATATCATACAGTCCTGATCTCTTCATATGATGCTGACCCCATATATCATACAGTCCTGATCTCTTCATATGATGCTGACCCCATATATCATACAGTCCTGATCTCTTCATATGATGCTGACCCCATATATCATACAGTCCTGATCTCTTCATATGATGCTGACCCCATATATCATACAGTCCTGATCTCTTCATATGATGCTGGTCCCATATATCATACAGTCCTGATCTCTTCATATGATGCTGGTCCCATATATCATACAGTCCTGATCTCTTCATATGATGCTGACCCCCCATATATCATACAGTCCTGATCTCTTCATATGATGCTGACCCCATATATCATACAGTCCTGATCTCTTCATATGATGCTGACCCCATATATCATACAGTCCTGATCTCTTCATATGATGCTGGTCCCATATATCACACAGTCCTGATCTCTTCATATGATGCTGATCCCATATATCACACAGTCCTGATCTCTTCATATGATGCTGACCCCATATATCACACAGTCCTGATCTCTTCATATGATGCTGATCCCCATATATCACACAGTCCTGATCTCTTCATATGATGCTGACCCCATATATCACACAGTCCTGATCTCTTCATATGATGCTGATCCCATATATCACACAGTCCTGATCTCTTCATATGATGCTGACCCCATATATCACACAGTCCTGATGTCTTCATATGATGCTGATCCCATATATCATACAGTCCTGATCTCTTCATATGATGCTGACCCCATATATCATACAGTCCTGATTCTCCATAGGAGTTTTTCACTTTTATTAAGCGCTGCACTTTACTATATTTACTGTTATTACATAGGTACTGTGGTTGCCTAGTGTCCTAGCTGCTGTATATCCAAGAGCGCTTACTTTATTCTGCAACATCCAATCATATACCCATAGATCTATAGAGCAAATTAAATAAAAAAATGATGTAGCGCTCTGCTTAGCAGAGCCATACAAAGCAGTGTGCTTATAGTGAAACACACACAGCCCCCCATAGTAAAACAGCACACAGTTAACCCTTTGATCGCCCTATATGTTAACCCCTTCCTGCCCAGTGCCATTAGTACAGTGTCATTGCTTTTTATTAGCACTGATCACTGTACTGGGAATGTCAGTGACAGTCAGTTCCCCCCAGTGTGAAAATGCCTGCTGCAGTCCCGCTATAAGTCGCTGATCGCCACCATTACTAGTATTAAAAAAATTTTTTTAAAAAAAAGATTCCAGTATCTATACCACCATTTGTAAACTCTAGAACTTTCACATAAACCAATGAATTTACACGTATTGGGATTTTTAGCAGAGCCATACAAAGCAGTTTGCTTACAGTGAAACACACAAACCGCACACAGTTAACCCTTTGATTGCCCCCACATGTTAACCCCTTCCTGCCCAGTACCATTAGTACAGTGTCAGTGCTTTTTATTAGCACCGCTCACTATATTAGTGTCACTGGGGGATGTCATTGACACCATGTTATTTCTCCCCAGTGTCAGAATGCCCGCGGCAGTCCCGCTATAAGTCGCTGCTCGCCACCATTACTAGTAAAAACGCTACAACTTTCACGTAAACCAATTAATTTACACTTATTGGATGTTTTTGTGCATTAAGATGCAAAAAAGCGTATTTGTTCCATAAAAATTGTGTTTTAAAAACTGCTGCGCAGATACCGTGTGACATACAGATTGCAGCTCCCGCTATTTCATTCTCTAGGGCCTCTGCTTTAAAAAACTAAATAATGTTTGGGGGCTGGAAGACATCTTCCAGCAAAATACGCCGATGTTTACATGTAAACAAAAAGTGCCAAACAGGCTGGAGCTGCAAGTGGATAAATAGACAATGAATGGATATCGCAGCCCCGCCCCTTCCGTTGGAACTGTCACCATTATTGTATATCCAATGAACGGAGATCGGCATCACGGCCCCGCCCTCTGTTGGTAGGTAAGGAACACTGCCTCTGCCAAGATGGCGCTGTCGCTTCCTCTTCCGGTTTGCGTCAGAGCGTGTGACGTAGCGGGAAACATGGCGGAGAGCAGGAGCGGGCCGTACAGTCCCCCTGAGACCGGAGCCCTGACCGGCACCTCCCGGATGGGGGTCTGCCTGCTCGGGGTGCTCTGCCTGCTGTGCCAGGTCTGTCCCTCCGGGGCCACTACACACTGGGTGGTGACAGAGGACGGCAAGATCCAACAGCAGGTGAGCTGACACCTGAGGGGAGGGGGTTTGTCACCTGACAGGAGGAGATGAGGGGGGAGGTCTCCTGGGAGAGCAAGGGGGGACCTCCCAACCTAGCACGGAGGTGGGGGGGGGGGGGACATCTGACAGGAGGGTCACCTGAGAGGGAAAAGGGGGACATAGGGGGGAGACTAGGGTCCCTGAGAGATAATGGGGTCCTCTGAGGGGGAAAAGGGGTGGACACCTGAGAGAAGCGGGGGTGACACCTGAAACGGAAAAGGTGGGTGGGGACTCCTGAGGGAAAATGGGGTCCACTTGAAAGGAGGGGGGAGCACCTAAAAGAGAAAAGAGGGTCACCTGAGAGAAACTGAGGTCCCCTAAGGAGGGGGGGGGAGGAAGAAGGGGGGCACCTCAGAGAATATGGTCACCTGAGGGGGATAAGGTGGATAGGGACACCTGAGAGAAAATGGGGTCCCTTTGACAGGAGGAGGGGGGGGGCACCTGAGAGGGAAAAGGGGGTCATCTGAGAGAAACTGGGGTCCCCTGAGGGGGGCACCTCAGAAAATGAGGGCACCTGAGAGGGAAAAGGTGGTCACCTGACAGAAACTGGGGTCTCCTGAGAGGAGGAGGGACCTGAGGGAAAATGGGGTCCCCTGATGGGGAAAAGGGGGGGGGGGGAGGCACCTGAGAAGGGAAAGGGGGGGATACCTGAGGGGGGGGGGGAAAGGCGGAATCGGAAACCTGAGCGAAAACGGGGTCCTCTTGAGAGGAAGGGGACACCTGAGAGGGGGGAAAAGGGAGTCACCTGAGAGAAACTGATGTCCCTGAGAGGAGAGGGGGACACCTGAGAAAAATTGGGGTCTGCTGAGGGGGAAAAGGAAAGGGGGGGGACACCTGATAGGAGGCAGAGGAGAAAGCCCCCTGAGAGAAAATGGGGTCCCCTGAGATGGAAAGGGGGGGACACCTGTGGGAAAATGGGGTCCCCTTGACAGGAGGGGGGACACCTGAGAGGGAAAACAGGAATGCCTTATGGAAAAAGGGGTCACCTGAGAAATTGGGGTCCCTAGAGAGGAGGAGCGACAACACCTGAGGGAAAGAGGGGACAACACCTGAGGGAAAGAGGGGACTGGGGGGGGGGGGGGGGCAGAGAAGGGTCCCCTGAGAGAAGGGGGGGGGGGGGGGACACCTGAGAAGGAAAAAGGTGTCACCTGAGAGAAAATGGGGTCCCCTGAGGGGAAAAAGGGGGGTGGTCACCTGAAAAAGGGGGGGGGGGGGGGGACCGCCTGAGGGAAAATGGGGTCCACTTGACAGGAGGGGGCACCGGAGAGGGAAAAGAGGGTCACCTGACAGAAACTGGGGTCCCCTGAGGGGGGGGGGGGTCTCGAGGGAGAAGGGGGCACCTGACAGGGAAAAGGGGGTCATCTGAGAAAAAAATGGGGTCCCCTGAGGTGTAATGGGGGGGGGGGGTCTCCTGTTTTGGTATGGGGGGGCACCTGCACCTGACAGGGAAAAGGGGGGGAGAAGGTGGGTGGGGACACCTGAGAGAAAATGGGGTCCCTTTGACAGGAGGAGGGGGGGCACTGTAGAGGGAAAAGGGGGTCACCTGAGAGAAACTGAGGGGGGGGAAAAGGATGGGGGGGGGGCATCTGAGAGGGACAAGGGTGGACACAGGGAAAAGCCACCTGGGTCCCCTGAGGGGAGGGGGACACCTGAGAAGATGTGGTCACCTGAGGGGGGGGGGGAAGGGGGACACCTTGGGGAAAAGGGGGGTCACCTGGGAGAAATTGGTGTCCTTTGGGGGGGGGGGCACCTGAGAGGGAAAGAGGGGGACCCTGGGGGGGGGGGGAGGGGACTGCTCAGGGTAAAGGAAGGGCGGCACCTAGGAGAAGGTCAGTAATGCCCCCCCCCCCCCCCCCCCATTTCTCTCATTTCAGGTTTATCCAATCACAGCTCTCACACCTCAGGCAGTTTTTTGCTCCTCCCACAGATTACCTGTACAGTTTGTAGTTTGGACCCCCATAGAATCCCCCCACCCCCCCGCACACATCCAGGCAGATCCTTGATGTGGATGTTGGTTAACTCCATAGAATGGGTGTCCTTCAGATTGTACTGTGATCTGTGCTGGGGGGGGGGGGGGGGGGGGAGAAGACATGACACGGATGTGGTGAGTCTTGCAGTCCTGTCTGGTGTTCACGTCTGTCTGTACAGTATAATGCAGGCAGTACAGATTTGCAGGCTGGTGTTGGAGGTCTTGATTTAATTTTTTTTTTTTTTTTTTTTTTACACTTTATTTACTTCCTGGTTTCCAGGCCTAGGCAAATGATGTCATACAGCCTAGGAGTCTTCAGGAGGGGAGGAGTTTTCTTAGCTAAGCACACCCTCCTGTCTGTATGTCAGAGCTAAGGGCACATGGTTTACAGGAAGTCAATGCTACCTGAATAATCTGCCCTTATTCAAGATGGCCGAAGCCAGAAATGCTAGGGAGGGGCGGCAATGTTCAATGTAATGTCTTAGATTAGGTATGCTGGGCGCTGGACCAGTCAAAGGGGAGGGGCCACAACCGACCACAGCATCACAGCAAAAAGCAGGGGAGGAGGGGTTTTCTCAGCTAAGCATACCATCCTATCCACATGCCTGAGCTGAGTGCAGATGGATTCCAAGAAGTAAATGCCACATGAATCATCTGCCCTTACTTGGTCACAGTTAAAAAAGCTAGGGGAGTGGTTTGCAAAGTGATTTCTCAACAAAATAAAGCATGGAGACCTGGATGGATTTGGGGGGGTTGAATCTTAAAAATGAATTAAAGTTTCTGGTTTGTGGTGCTCAGGTGAAGTTGAGTTGATATCGGCTGTATATTGTAATTGCAGTGCGATTTAAATGCGGTGCAGGAAATTGGAAATGTGCGCGGCACGCGGGTTTCCTGCATCGCGTTCTGGAGTGTGCTGGCCCTCAGATTATTATTATTTTTTGTAAATACTTTCTTGAGCCGGGGCTGAAGGTCAGATTTCTCCATGATTAGTTCACAAATGTTTGGAGTAAATCTGTCACAACAAACACTTTTCTCCTGCGCTTGGACGGGACTCCGTAGACCCAATAGTAATGTTCTGGAATTTTCTGGAATATGCACTGCTTGCTGTCCTCAGCAGACCGGGGTGGTCCAAATACACCGGATGCAAATGGAGAAACAGAAAAAGGACGCACCGACCTAGTGCATTATCGTTTAAAATATTTATTGAAGAAACAAAGTATCATACTTACAATAGACATAAAAACACAGGCATGTCAAACTGAACAAGATGTATGATCCAAACAACATCTTAGTCTATACCAGGGGTCTGCAACCTTTAAGACATAAAGAGCCACTTGGACCCGTTTCCGAAGGGAAAAAAAGACTGGGAGCCGCAAAACCATTGCAACATTTAAAACAAATCCGACACTGCATATATTGCAAAAAGCGCTCTGGTCATGAAGGGGGTTTAAGGGCCCAGTAAGCAAAGGGTTAATCAGGGCCACAGTGTATCGTCATAATCACAATCATAGCCTTAGGCCAGTGGTGGGCAACCTTTTTTTTTCAACTGAGCCAAATCTCGCCAAAACCACGATTGAAATTTATTTTGAGAGCCACATTTTTAAAACTGAAAATACATCCCCCCCCCATAGTAATTCATCCCCCCCCCATAGTAATTCATCCCCCCCCATAGTATCATCCCCCCCCATAGTAATTCATCCCCCCCATAGTAATTCATCCCCCCCCATAGTAATTCATCCCCCCCATAGTAATTCATCCCCCCCCCATCCCCCCTATTGTGTCAATTCACTTACCTTTGCTCCGCGCGTTCCTCTCGCCGTGTTCCCTCGCCGTTCCGGTCTTCAGGGCGGACTGTGAGAGAGAGAGGAGTTCGTCACGCTGCCCCGCCTACATCCTGACAGCCAATGTTTGCCACGCTCCGCGGGCGGATTAAAAGGTCCGCCGGGCCGTAGTTTGCCCATTGCTGGGCTAGCTGCAGAGTCCTGACTTTTGGGGGGCGGCCGCCCGAGAGGAGGGAGGGGAGCGGGCGCCCGGCACACAGAAGAGCCGCATTAAAAAATGTGTAAAGAGCCGCGGCTTGCCGTCCACTGAGCTACGGCAACCCTATTGCCTGTCACCTGGTGGGCAGTGTGCTCCGGAGCCGCAGCAAAGGTGAAAAAGAGCCGCATGCGGCTCTGGAGCCGCGGGTTGCCGACACCCGGTCTATACGATGGAACCCTGGATGACCAACTTGCTAACGCGTTTCGAGGACACAACCTCTTCCTCAGAGCCAACCTGGATGTTGTTTGGATCATACATCTTGTTCAGTTTGACATGCCTGTGTTTTTATGTCTATTGTGAGTATGATACTTACTTTGTTTTTTCAATAAATATGTTAAACGATAATGCACTAGGTCGGTGCGCCCTTTTTCTGTTTCTCCATTTGCATCTGGAGTAAATCTGTGTCATTTGGTTTCCGGTATCTGGCCATGTTGTGATGTCATAAGATGAACCCGTGTGATGTACGAATGGCCCTGACGGTGTACAGGGGGCACAAAACGAATCCAACTCGTACCCCTTATCACTGGAGCCGCTTGCAATAACTCAGATTTATGGATTAAGAGGAGCCATGTACAGTCCCCAGGCCTCCCACAATGCATTGCTGTGTGCCAAGGCAACTTGTGCTAAGGCTTGCCCACTGTCACAAGTAGTGGGGGGAGCTTGCCGAGAGCCCTATGAAGATACATTCAGAAAGTTGGTATTTGTACAGAATACTTTTGCAACCTGTGAATAGTACAAAGCTCCCTCTGATTGGCTGAGGTGGAGAGGCCTTCCACACAGGTGGTATTTCTCTCTAGCATGCTGGCAGGACAGAGGCTTTTTTATTTTCCGGCCCCATTCACATCTGGGCATTTTGTATCAAGGGCAGAATCTCAACAAGACTGCCGGCGATCCCAGAACTCTACAAGAATGACAAATCGCACCACATGAGTTCAGGTGCCATTCATTTTCAATGGCACCTAAAACGCGGTGCGGTTCTGCCGCAGTTGTACAATAAATCGCTGCAAACCACATCATGTGAAGTTTGTCGTCTAAAAGGTGCTCACGCTCCTTTTTGGGGTGACACGCGTCACGTGGTCCAGTTTGCCGTGATTGCAGTGCAATTCATCATGGCCGAACTGCACCGCGTTTTTAGTTGACATTGAAAATGAATGGCGCCTGAACACCGTGGTGCGATTTGTCATTTTTTCCACCGCGTTTTGGGATCGCACAATAACATGTAAAACACACTAGCTTGGGACGTGACGCTTCAGTATCGCAACACCTCCAGTCCTTGTCACCTGGCTCTGCCCCAAGCGTGGTACGATTTGTCATTTTTGCTCAGCGTTTTGGGATTGCAGGCAGAATGCACTTGCATAGCATATTTTTGCATTATGGAAAACACAGTAGCTCGGGACTTGACACTTCAATACCGCCGCACCTCCAGTCCTTGCCCCCTGGCTCCGCCCCAAGCGTATAACCGATCCCATGACTTCATCAGGGGCTTTTGGGTCAAGTTCATTATTAACCTCATTAAGACAAAGGGAAACAGCATATATGGGATTTGCATTTACGCCGCACCTCCAGTCCTCGTCCCCTGGCTCCACCCCAAGCGTATAGTCATCGATCCCATGACTTCATCAGGGGCTTTTGGGTCAAGTTCATTATTAACCTCATTAAGACAGTATATATGGGAATTGTATTTATGCAGCAGAGCAACACATTTTATAAAGGCAAAATTTTTTTTCACTATAAGGCATTTCCTGTATTAAAGTTAAAAAACTTTGCATAGCATTTCCTCCAATTAACACCCCCACCCCTTGTGCAGTACCCTTGTATTTTTTTTTTTTTTTTTACAGGGTCATTTTTTACTTTTTTAAAAAAAAAAAAAAAAAAAAAAAAAAGACTGAAGTTCCCTATAAAGCAGAGTGTTGACTCGGTCCATATTTTCCTTGGTTCTCTTATTGTAATTGTTATCACCTTTAATAAGTCCTTGTTTTTCAGGTTGATTCGCCAATGAACTTGAAGCATCCCCACGATTTGGTGATTTTAATGAGACAAGAGACCACCGTTGGCTACCTCAAGGAACTAGAGGTGACTTGATACCGTTGACCGCAATTTCTTCTTTGTATGTCTAAGGCCCCTTTCACACGGGCTATCCGATCAGGTCCGCCTGTCAATTTTTCAGGTCCATGCTTTCCTATGGACAGGCTGGTGTAAACATACTTGGATTCAATCACACTTGCCTACCTCTGGGTCCAATCCGGTCAGCCAAAAAGAAACTGAAAGGGATCTGTCTCTTCTTTCAGTCAAAATGGTTCGGGAGGGTAGTTGGGTGTAGATGCACAGCAGAGTCTGATTATTATTCCCAGCCGCCCATAGAGCAGAGCAAGGTTTGTCCTTGTTGGCTCTGTAGAAGCAGAGTGGACATGGATCTGTCATCTGCCTGCTCTGCTTCGATCACCAAGGGATCTGTCCTCTTCTTTTCAGTCAAATGGTTCGGAGGGTAGTTGGGTGTAGATGCACAGCGGAGTCTGATTAGTCCCGGCCACCCATAGTGCAGAGCAGGCTCTGTCCTTATTGGCTCTTTAGAAGCAGAGTGGGCATGGATCTGTTATCTGATGCCCTGCTGATACTGAATTGAACCCCCAGCCCCCTTCACCAACGTGTGAAAGGGGCCTTTGGATTACAGATCTTGTTACTTTAAATAATAAAAAACAAACCAAATAATTTCCTTGCGCTAGTTAAAAAAAAAATAAAGGCTTCTGCATCCACTACACAATTTAGATACTAGATGTAAAACAACTACAAAAAAAAAAAAAAAAAAATTCCATCTTTGAGGAAATATACTCTTCTAGGTTTATTTTTATTCTTTTGAAAGTTGAGTATGGTGTTTTGGCACAACTTTTTTTGTGATATCTTTTTTTTTGTTATTGCATATATTGAGCTCACATTATCAAAACCATATATATAATATTGTTTAATATAGTTATATTGTATGCACAATTGCACTTTGGAATTTTTAGCACATTCCACCCTTTTTTTTTTTTTTTTTTTTTTTTTTTTTTTTTACTTTTTTCTTATTACCTGTCATTGTTTTCCCATTCCAGAAACACTTAGTTGCTCAGAAAATTCATATTGAGGAAAATGAAGATCGGGACACAGGGTTGGAGCAGAGGCACTACAAGGATGACCCTGATTGTGGTTCTAGCCAAAGTGCCTCTGGGTGACATGGACTTATATGATGGAACTTATATGCCACTGGAGGACAAAAATATCAAGTAATGTTTTTTTTATGTCTCCGTTCATCATTGCTGGCAGCCTGCAGATATATGTTGTGGTCTATGTATGAAATAGTTTTGCAAATTAAAGTGGTTGTAAACCTCAGACATGAAATATGAACAAAGCATATGCCTTTACAGCAGAGATATTGAATTAAGATTCAAGGAGGTCCGGTTACTAACATTTTTTCTTCTGGCCGAGGTCCGAATAGGGTGTGCCCATCAGTGTGCTCCCTTACATTAGGTGTTGCCATCAGAGTGCAACTTTACATCATGTATTCCCATCACATCCGGTGTGCCCATTAGAGTGCTCCTTTACATCAGTTATCCCCATCACAGTGCCACCTTACATCAGGCATTCCCGTCCGAGTGCCCGTGTCCACAGTGTGGGCCCCGTCCGAGTGCCCCTGTAAGACCACACCTTACCTTGAGGGCAGACAGGAGCTTGCCAGGATCCTTGCTGAAGGATCAGCTGTGCGCTTGTGTACAGGCAGGGAGCGAGAGCAGGAGAGACAGTGAGCTGCAAGGGGCAGGGCACACATGTGATGTCATCAGTTGCCGTGATGACTGCCCTGCTGAGCGGCAGATCTGTCATTCCAGTCTAGTGTGCTGGCGGTCCAGAAGGGAGCACTGCTTGGGTCATTCTTGGACCACAGTCTGCCATTTAGTGACCACTGCTTTAGTGTGTACTTGTCTCTATCGAGAGCACTAAGTGTCATTTCTGTATGCTGCCTTCTTCCTGTGCTATCTGCATGAGTCGCTTCTGACAAGTTTTCCTGACACCAAGAAAAAAAAAATGGTAGGGGATAGAACACTAGGAGATTGAAAGCCTCAGCTCTGTTCTTGATTGCGTCCCTTCCTCCAGTCATCTCTCAGAGCTCTCCTTACTGAACTCTGCAGAATGTAACTGAAGTTCCCTGCCCCAGCTTTCTGAATTCTTAGACAAGCTGTGTAAATTCAGCACTTTGAACGTTTGTAGAGAATAGAGGGCTCAGATAAACAGGTGCAACTTATGTTTGAGGGTGTATTACATCTGTCTATCACCTGAGGCCAGTTACTTCACTGTGTATATGGAAGGGTTTACAACCATGTTAACTAGCAGTTTAACCTACAATTAAAATGGTGTGCTGTGTAGTAGAAGCTCTTGCTGCATGGTGGGAATATAGTTTTAGTTTTTTTTTTTTTTTTTTTTTTTTTTTTTTTTTTTTTATGAAGAGGGGTGAGAATACAGACAAGTGCAATTAAAAAAAAAAAAAAAAATAGCGCGATTGCAACTGCCATAGACCGTAATGCTGCGTGTACTTTTACTGTCAAGTTCAATTGTGGCTCTGATCATTAAGGGGCAGGGCTTAATCCTAGTTTGGGCATAGGTCAAGGCCTTGTGTACAGCCATGGCCTTGCAACCTTGGGACACAAGGATCAGTTGGGAAATGAGCTTAGTTAGCACCCCAGCATATCTGTTCATAAAGTAGAATTCCAGCCTAATACTAACTAGGCTTAAAGTGGGTGTAAACCTCTGACATGAAAAATGAACAAAGTATATTCTTCTACAGTGTGTACTTGTCTCAATCCAAAGCACAGAGCGTTATTTCTGTTTTGCTGCCTCATTCCTCTATTAGCATGAGTCATTTCTGACAGGTTGTGCAAACTCCAAGTAAGGGCAGGGAGAGTGTCTCCAGCAGCCTCAGCTGTGCATGTTTCCCTATGAGATTGTGTAGAGGATGTATAATTTCCCTCCACTCAGGTTTCAGATTACACTCGGCTCTCCTCTCCTGAGTTGTGCAGTGTGTGACATCTGGGGAAAAAAAAAAAAAAAAGCTGTGTAAATTCTGTCTTTTGAACTGTACAGGAGGGCCACAGATACAGGTTACAACTTATGTAGGAGGATTTGTTTCATCTCTGTGTATCACCTGAGGCCAGCCACTTCACTGGGTATATGGAAGTTTTTACATCCACGTTAAAAAAAATGTTTCATCCCCCTTCCTGCTTCTGTCAGAACTTTTAGCTCTGAGAAAATAATCAGTAATTTAGTTTATGAAAACAAGCGGGGATCTGAAATTAAGGAGATTCCCTACTAATTTTCATAAATCCACCGAGAATCCAAATTCTTTATTTGTGCTAATTTGAAGACGAAATAAAAAGCAACAATGTGCAAAAAAAGTAAATTTAATAATAAAATTCAGTGCAAAATGGTAATGAGAGAGAACAGGTGATAAATTATAAATCAAAATAACAATACAATGATCTAATCCGAGTTGATTAAGAATACCATACACAGAATCTATCTGAGGCCAAGATCAAATGTTACAATAAATTGTCTACTTTGTCATTTATTATTATTATACAGGATTTATTTATTATTATTATTATTATTATTATTATTATTTATACAGGATTTTATATATTATTATTATTATACAGGATTTATATATTATTATTATTATACAGGATTTATATATTATTATTTATTATTATACAGGATTTTATTTATTATTATATTATTATTATTATTATTATTATACAGGATTTATTTATTATTATTATTATTATTATTATTATTATTATACAGGATTTATATATTATTATTTATACAGGATTTTATACATTATTATTATTATACAGGATTTTATACATTATTATTATACAGGATTTATGTATTATTATTATTATACAGGATTTTTATGTATTATTATACAGGATTTATGTATTATTATACAGGATTTATATATTATTATTATTATTATTATTATTATTATTATTATACAGGATTTATATATTATACAGGATTTATTTTTATTATTATTATTATTATTATTACAGGATTTATCTATATTATTATTATTATTATTATTATACAGGATTTATCTTATTATTATTATTATTTATTATACAGGATTTATCTATTATTATTATTATTATTATTATTATACAGGATTTATTATTATTATTATTATTATTATTACAGCATTTATTATTATTATTATTATTATTATTATTATTATTTATTATTATTATTATTATTATACAGGATTTTTTTTTATTATTATTATTATTATACAGGATTTATTTATTATTATTTACAGGATTTATATATTATTATTATTATTTATTATACAGGATTTATGGCACCAACAGTTTGCTCAGCGCTTTACAATATAACGCGAGACAATACAGCAACAATACAGTTCAATACAAGAGGGATAGGAGGGCCCTGATCCTGGAGCTTACAATCTAGGATCAGCTAAACCATTGACTAGAAGCTAAAATCAGCTTTTGGATATTTCAGAAATTTCCCCAGAGAATGGAAATTAAAATACTGCAGTTAACATTATTTCACATCAACTCCTGTACTAACCATTTTCAGACTAAACTGTTTAGCTCTAGGTGTAAGCGAGTACAAGTTAGCTGAAGAAAATGAAAGTTTTATAATTACCAATATGGACGCTATGGTGTCAGTGATGTCAGCTCACTTCAGGGTGTGTTTGTGTCCGTCAGTTGTCCCTTGTCTCCTGTTTTGTCTTGGGATGTATTGTCCCTGTCCAACTCCTAATTATTTTTTATTTATTTCTTAGCCCCCAAAAAACCTAGGCGGGCAAAGCTTATCTCTCCTAATCATGACGTCACACTAGGTGTTCTTTTCTTTACTAAATGATTTCAGTTTCCTGAAGGGGGCAGTGTAGGATTTAGGAATGATTTTGGATTTTTCTGACACCCCTTCTATGTCATATCAAAAGTTGACCCCCGGCTAGTAAGAAAACTCTAAATATGGAGATAAGAGTTCTTTTGCCAGAATCGTTCAGGCTAATGTCACTGGAAATAATGTATTGCCTAAGTGATTCTGGAGAAGAAAACAATAAATTGTCAATGCCCGCCGCAGCCCCGCTATAAGTCGCTGAATCGCCGCCATTACTAGTAAAAGAAAAAAAAAATTCCAGTACTGTGTATATGCCGCCATTTTGTAAACGCTATAACATTCACATAAACCAATTAATTTACATATGTTGGGATTTTTTTTTTTTTTAGCAAAGACATGGAGCAGAATGTTTTGTCCTAAATTTATGATAAAATTTTTTTTTTATTTTTTTTCATTTATTGGACATGTTTAATAGCAAATATTCCAAAAATTTTTTTTTTCTCAATTGTCGGTCTTTTTTTGTTTATAGCACAAAAAATCCAAGATGCACAGGCGATCAAATACCACCGAAAGCTCTATTTGTGGGGGGGGGAAAAGAACGTAAATTTAATTTGGGTGCAGCGTTGCATTACTGCGCAGTTGTAAATCAAAGTAAAGCAGCGCCTTAATGCAAAAAAATGGCCTGGTCAGGAAGGAGGGTAAATCCTCTGGAGAGCAAGTGGTTAATAGAAAAGCTTTAGTATAGGTTTCAACAACCCATAAAAGTGATGTCGCAATACTTTCATTTTCTAGTAAAAATGAAACAAAAGACATTTTAGATCATCTACTCGGCAAAAGAAGGTAAATGCTCCAGTGGTTTCAGTGTTACTTGTATGAGCATGTGACAAGACAGTGAAAAATGCAGTTTATGCATTCCAGCCAATCGTGCCTCAGTTTACTCAGTTTACTGTAGTTGAATGACAGCAGCATAGAGCAACCTATAACCTATTTTTACAATGCTTTGTCGTGTGGGTATTGAGTAAAACTGATAATACAATTTTTTATTATTGGTTGCAGGCTAAATGATTTTCTCACAATCCTGAGAATTCTGAAAACTGATAATCATCACTTTGTGTTTGAATTTGCAGCCCAGAAGATTATGTGGACGTACATAGTCATTTACCTCCCGATCTGAAGCAACCAGATTGCACCAGTATCGCAGAGCTTCCATTCAGCATCCACGCCTTTCAGCACCTGAGGGTATGCACATTTGTTGGAAATATCTTCGGCTGTATTCACACTTGGCGTTTCCTGACAAAATGTGTTTCAAACGCACATCTCACTTGTGGTTCTAGTAATCATTTTAAAGAGAAGTATGAGGTTTTGG